AAATCATGAATTCGCGCTATATAAGTCCCTGCTGTATATTGTATTTATAAATGATTTCTTAGCAGTATTCATGAATTAGCGCATTGTTGTCTGCACCAAAGCCATTAAAATATGAAGCCTGCTTTTTTAAGTACACGTACAGTATGTTGCTAGTTGCTATATGTATTGTTTCGCATTGAAAATGTGTCATGGACAGGTACATGTACTTTTTTTTCCACAAAAACTTTATCCTTTGGCCTTAACTCTTGAACAATTAGAGCTGGGTCTTTGTATTTCACATGTTTATTTCTTTTTTTAACCCCATGATCTTGGCCTTAGAGTGTGACCTACATTGAGAAATTAAAATATTTAATCTTTATCTATATATACCAAGTTTTTTTTTTATTTAGACACTTCATTGTTCCAAACAATTTCCGACTATATATGCATTTGATTAAACGATTCATGACAATTTGATGAATACATATATAAAAAATGTATTGCTACAGTATAATCTGACAGAAATGTTTTATATTCATAATACAAACATAGTCATACCATGTTTGCAGTGTAAGAAAGAAGTAATACATATATTTTAGTTCTTTAAATATTAAAATAATTTATTCATTTCAGAAAAAGAACTACCAGAAGGATACAGTAAAGAGGAACAGACGTATCCCACCCATTAGATATGTGCTTCAAAATCTGAATATACAGAATGAATTCCGCTCATCGGAGCTCCTTCTGAAAATAACACCTTTGTTGTATTGACATAGAATCAATGGAATTGTCTGGTTCCTTAAACATGACACAACTGGCTGCATATGATGGCAATTAAAGATTCATACATGTTTACATTGATCTTCGTCAGCCAATAAGCCAAAAAGCTATAGCTAGCAAAATAACAAGTTTATCTTACTTTTTCCAAATGAATCTTAATGGTAATAAATGTACATGTAGCATCAACATTCATCAAGCATTGTTATATTTCTTAGATTTTCTTAAATCAAACCATCCTTTTCTAGTTGCAGGTCATAATGTTGTATCAAATGAAATTCCAATTTTCTTGAAATTACTTGAGGAGTTTGGACTTCAAGAAAAACTTAGATATTATTGAATGTATTCACTTTATTTTGTTGAACTACATCCCGAGTTTAAAAGTTGTACATCAGATACAGTTTATGGTGGGATTCCTCTAACTTTTATGAACCTGTGTGTAAAATCTATACTTTAAAGTTACAAATTATTACCTTTAATATATTATGTGTTCTTATGTAAATTATTACATTATTTTTGTATGTAGTAATGATACCCGAATCACTCTCTATTTCCCCGTACTTTTTACCATGTGATGCTTTAGTGTATTAATATCTGACTACTGATGACCAGGCAGTCTTCATTAAACAGTGACACACATAACTCATGCTTTTATTTGAATATCTTTAAAACAAGAATAACATACTGTGGATTGATTCCGTTTACAAAACTTCATAATCACTGGGTTTTCTTATACATGTATTTGGAATGAAAAAGGAATTGTTGAAGGAAAGTGAAATTAATACCAATGTTGTCAAAGGGAGATTAAAAGACCAGTTTATTTATGCACAGAATTGGTCAAAAGATATTGTCATTGATAATTCATCCAAGAATCATATGTATAATAAATCTATCAAAGTCAATTTTAACGATATAAAGGAATTTCAAAGTTCATATCTTTTTGAATGTAAGTGCAAAAAGGTCCACCAGGGCAACATGTGTCTAGCTATAGGATGTACATGTATAAATATTTGCTTTTGTGATATAAAATGTAATTTAGAAGAATATTACAAAGAATTTACTCATTTTCTGTAAAATATTTTGATGAATTCTTTGATAATCTCTCTTAGTCACCATATTCTTCAAAAGGGCATCCTTTGTAAAGGAAGGGGGTAGGGTAAGGTGTAAGATAATAAACTTGTGACAGGTTGAAATTAAACCCCATTATGTAGTATGATTTTTTCCTGAAATTTAAGATACTTATTGACTAACTATAATATGCGATAAAAAAAGAAATTTGATGGGTAATTTTTTCACAGTGGAAGCAGAAGTGTGAGTCATTGAGCAATGAATAGGCAATATTTTAATGTAATTTGACCATGCATCTTGGTGAATGTAATTCTGTTTTTCACTTACAATGCTTGATACTTTTAAGATTGATGTCAAATATTAATTCATATAGACAGATGTTTGAATTCATATAAGACAAATAATAATTGATATATCAATAAAAATTTTATAGCCCTTTTCATATCTTCTTCTTATATTATTTTACCCTGCTTTTTCAGCTCTTCAGTGGGTGATGAAGGCTATATCAAAATTATCAAATTTCTCTTAAACTAGCCCGATAACCTACCTTGAATTTTTAATAAGATTTAGAACAAAGACTCAACACAAACATATATAAAATTCAGAAAATTTCAATGGTTAGTTTTTTTGTTGACAACCTGTCAATCTCTACCTTAAGAGATGCAGTGCATGCTTAGGAAAATTTCTTAAAGAAGAAACGACTGCTATTGAATTAAAAGAGAAAGAGGAAGATTTTAAAACTAGTTTAAAGAAAATACTTCCAACTGCGCCTACTAACTGACATTAAGCATGCTTTGTTTAATTTACAGCAAAATAACATCATACACTGACATAATCTTTGGAATACTACGTGATATAGTTCTTTTTTGCCCCGAAATTAGACCAGTCGAGAACTACATATGAAAATAATCTTTATTTCTAAGACATGCTGCCAACCTGTGAGACTCAGAAACCGCCACCCCGAGTGGCACATCGAGTTTGAAGCCTAATTAAAATATATTGACTTACAAGGTACCAATGAAGCTAAATTCTATTCCAATACTTCATAACCATTTAAGGTGTTCCATCCCTAATAGCCTCAGATTCAATGAAATTGAATACACAACAGATGTGTACGGGTGGAATACTCAGTATATTCAGACATTATTCCCATTTATTACTATTAGCATGTAAAAATGGAACATGTCCTTATTTATGTCCTTGACCTTTGTTGAAGAGTCCTCTTTTTTTTAAGTAATAAAAATCAATTTCAAAAAATCTATACGGTAAAAAATTGTTTTCAATTGTCATTCTATTTCTAATGATTTAATGCATCTTTCCACCACAGTATTTATTGATATTCTTATTATTTGAATTTTTATGGAAAAAAAATCGCTTGTCTCCATAGTCTTCAATGCAATTTTTGTTAATTAATTACTGCTTAGTTAATTACACTTTTGAAACTTTCTCTTGGTAAATCCTTTTCTACTGTAAAATGCTTTGAACTAATATCAGAGTATTATATACTTGATGAATATTTAAGGATAGAGAATTAGGTCTTATTAGGGATGGAAAACCTTAAGGTATAATGAAAGAAACCCTATGATGATCAATTTTTAATACAGAATTTTATGACAAAAGTCGAAAACGTTGATACCCCGAAAAGTGAGGAGGAGTGTTTGAGAAAACAGAGTAGTTTTATATGTCGTTTCGGGGGTTGCCTGGTAATTGCTCCTTTCCTTTATATATAATTTTTTAACTAACGCGTCTTTACATATGGAAAATTTTAAGTTAACTCACCTTGCTTGTCTTTTCTCCGCTTTGGGCTGTCACCCAATAGCACGCATGATCGCCACCCGTGTCGTTCTAACAGATGTTAGTTTTGTAAAACCTTCTACCCAAGTTTGTTGAAGATTGAACTTAATGATGTAAAAACCAGGGAAATGTCAGAACAAAAGTGAACAAGGGAGCTAATACTAATTACAAGGGTTGGGATATATATTAACATCCACGGTTGAGGGTAAACATTTTGATATATTTCAGGAAGATGGGGTTTATTCATAAAGTATGGCAATGACTTGTAAATAACATTGAAAAAGCAATAAAGAAGTTTATTAATGCTCAGAGTTATGCATAAACACAGCAAAGAAATTAGCAAGCTCTGGTCGACGATAGCCATTTGCGTTGAGGTACTGCAAATCCTAACATTTGCTTTATCAAAATCCACGAAAAACTCAAAACTTATGAAAATTGTCATTATGGCCGTTTTCCCGTATTTGACATCGATTTGAATATATCAAGACAGGCGGTTATAAAATAATAAATTTTGTATTTATTTACATAAAAACTAAAACTTTTCAATGCCACCTCCTAACAAGTATAGGTCAATAGGTACGAGATGAGCAAGGCTTGTCTGAATGTAAACCGATTGAATCTATTTAGAAAGGAGGAAATAGGAACGTGTAAATTTGGCCACTGACCTATTGGCATTCATTATCTCATGAATTGACCTAGAGAGATAAGATACCGGCATATTATATAACAGTCAACTCCCAGGCTACATCAGGTCATTCCTAGACTTCAGAGAAGGTAAGGGTTTTATTTTGTTTTTGGTTGTGTTGAGAACAATTACTGGATAAAATGTACATTGGAAGTCTTTAATTTTTTTTTTAAATCTTAAAATGTTTACAAAATCGATCTACTGATAAAATCCAATTGAACACAATAATAAACGAATTAAGTTGAAAAATATGTTTTTTCAACTACATGTATGATGGAACTTAAGAAATTTCACTACGAAGGTAAGAATCTCAAAAAAGATCTTAATTAAATCAATTCAAAATTAAAGAAAACTTTCATTTATAAATTTTCTTATTATCAAGACCAGTCTTCTAAAATTTAATAGCATAAATAACAGTATATGTCTTCTAACTTGAAAGTAATTCATATTTATGTCTAATTCTGTAATTCTGGATAACTTGGAATATATTTAATTAATTAAAACTATTAAAAATCTAGATATGATCCTATATCAGTAATTCATAATATTACAGGTATGGATTTTAAAATTGAAAGTTATGAACACACACACACAAAGCTATATATATATATATATATATATATATATATATATATATATATATATATATATATATATATATATATATATATATATATATAATTTTGCTTACAGAGTCATCAATTCTGCATTGTCCCCTAGAGAGAAAACATGAAGGTCGCTATTTTCCTCTTGTGTCTGCTCCCTTTGGTGTTCACTGCCCCCTCTGAAGTTGACAAAAGATTTATCTTTGATTGTAAGCATTAAAATCTTGTTTTATACATTACAAATACCTTTACACCGACCATTTAAAATACCTGATTCCTAAATAAAAATTTCTTGACACCGAATATCTAAACAATACACGATTTTGTATATGAAAGAACCTTTCAATGAATATCCAAAGAATTGCATTTCATGTATATTGTACCTAAAAAGGAATTTGACATTTATTGTTTTAAAAGTATGTTTGCACCAAATGGTGAAAAATACACGGTGCGAGATGTCTGTGTTACAGTCCATGCATATGGAGTTGCACGTTGTTCGTACACTGTCATTTCACCAAAAACACCGTGTAGCACTGCTTGGTCGTATTTTTTTCAATTAAAATTCAAATACTAGCATTATATGAATGTTCCTATGAAAAGAACTTCAATGAACATTGAAATATGGTTTAACCAAATACAATATAATTCTTCAGTACATCATGTGATTGACCAAATCAAACACCTTGTGACCCCAGACATGGAACAGGGCGCCTGTGAAACACTCTGTAAGAGCGTTGTGGCTGGTCTTGGAAGCCTCGTTTGCGGCACAGCTTGCTCAACGTGAGTTTTTCTATCTTACTATTGGGAAATGAATATACGGGAATGTTGTCCTTGTATTATCATCATCAAATATTTGACATACTCTAACAAATTCAATTCATCAAACCATAATGATATGTCATTTGAATATTATTGACATTTGAGAGTCAGGGTCGTAAAATATCAGTGTTTTAAAAATGACTTTTGAAAAGAAAATATGAATAACATTTTATTTGTTTTCTTTTGCAGACTCATTTCATCTCTGAACGGTTAAATAAAACAATTCAGAAATAAATGAATTTTTCGTTTTTATTTAATTGGACAGGTGCCATGTAAAACACAAATTAAAGCATAGAATAAATTTTGAAAATGCACCAAAATAATCAGACATATACATCATATTAAATGCATATACTTGAAACTACAATCGTATTGCTTACATTGTTGAACAGAACCTGCCTATTCCAACGAAATTTATTCAAACAAAAGTTTCAACAACTATGAGAAATGAGAATCCTTGCGATCTTTATACAAAGTTCAGTAATATACTTCCTTGTTCTTTCCAGTCCTTACAACGCGTATGGAAAAGCAGTTGAAAATTTGTTGCCGAGAAATAACTTGGAGCATAACGATATATTTCATAATCAATTATATAAGTGTAGGTCTGCATCTAATGCAAAAGGGTAAAGATAACGATAAGTGATTGATCTCATTAAGAATGCAAACAATATCAATCTGTGAACAGGGCATAAACACGGATCCCTGGAAATTCCAGAGGTGGGATCAGGTGCCTAGGAGGAGTATGCATCCCCTGTTGACCGGTCACACTCGCTGTGAGACCTATGTATTGATCATCACATGGAACATTCCGTAGTCAAATTTAGTACAAAAACAGAGGTCTAACAATTGGTATGAAACAAGTCATCAAAAATACGACCCAGTGATAGGTTATATTTGCTAATAAGGTCAATATGACGACCACAGAATTTACGAAATGCTGACTTTAAACGAGGTTGTTGAAACCCTGTAATATTAACTTATATGTGCGTAGCCTGCCTCTGTTTAAAATTGGTTTAACACTCAATGGACGTAAGGTGTCAGTCCTCCGCATGGCGCAGTGGTAAGAGCGTCTGTTCTAGAGTCGCGGAGTAAGGAGCTGATCCTTAAGTCGCGGGTTCAAATCACGGCGTGACGTGAAGACAGGTCCTTCGGATGAGACCGTATAAACCGAGGTCCCGTGTCGCAGTAGGTGTCCCTTGAGCAGTGAGATCCCTCACTGCTCAATGGCCTCAAGTGCAGAGTATAGGTATAAATGTGCAGCCCTCCACCGGCAAGTGTTGGCGTCTCCATATGAGTGAAATATTCTCGAGAGGGACGTTAAACAACAAACAAACAAAAGAAACCAAGGAGTCGTATCAGTACACACGTACACGAAAGATTTTGTCAATTATCTTTAACGTACCGAACCTACCACTGAACCTACAATTAATTCTTCTTACCTTAACAATGCAATCTTTTCGTAGAACTTTACTTTTATTTCAGCTGGATTTTTAATGTCATCATAATACATTCAACGATCTTTCATTTACATGCACTTAGGACAAACTCCCTGTAAAGATCTTGCAGAATTTTCAATGTTTATTTTCGCCCCCAAAAGAAAGAAGGATTTTTTTCTTTAATTTCATCTTTATAAAGTATTAAAACAAAGAATCAGTATCTTATTGATTTACTGCATTGTATAAAATTTACAGAACACATATTACAAATTACCATACAATAGTCTTGTAAACACTTATTTATAACAACTTGAAGAAAACAAGATTTTGAAATTGATGATAATGATTCGACTATAAATTATCAATGGCCGAGGGCAGTAGAGCACATGAGCTGTTCCCAGGGCCAAGGGAAATATATTCTAATATATTAAGTGATTAGGCATTTGATAAACTTTTATTTCCCGATACAGGAAAAGAAGTGAAACGGAGTGTAAAGTACTATATTACAGCAAAAACCAGAGAATGAGGTTAAAACAAATACATTAAGGCTTTCTCGCCGATATACACATGATTTGACAACTGCATAGTTATACTGCAATTAAGCCAAATAATTTCATTAAGATAAACAAATCGTGCACAATTTGATTACTTATAGCATTAAACCATGGACATGACAATATTAAGATGAAATTCAATTCTTAAATTACAATTCATGTTAATATCTATACTTATAAATTAATAAATTTTGAAAATAAACTCCGAAACGGGTGCACCAGAGTTCTTACTTACTCCTCTAAGAATACACTAGATACAAGATGATGTCCGTAAACTATATTTAGATTTCACTTGCAATGTAAGTATCGTACATTAAATTAAAAGTCTACTTTTATTTTCTATAAACAGCCATGAAATAGCAAAAACGTCAGTGCGGTGGCGTTTCCGGTTGGCGGATCAAAGTTACTGGCAATTTTTAATGAAACTGACAACAAGCAATCGTTTATTTATTTCATTAAACGTCATTACTGAATTATTCAATCAAAACTTGATTTAAATTATATAAAAGAAATAAGCTGTGATAACCGATTGAAAAGGGAAATATGCAAATTATTTTCGTCATTCACCGATCGTAATATTGACGGAAGCTTCTAGAACATCATATAGCATCGAGCCCGATGTTAAAAAGAAAAAAAATAGCTTTTGTGTGAATAGTCATTGAAATAATGGTAAATCATTGATAACACTGTAAGTTGTGAATATATTTATATATCGAAAGACTATTTAGTAGGTTTTCTTAATAAATTTATCGGTAAAATTTGTATATATTCCTCACTGAGAGCATCGTGGCAACGAACCCGAATTTGTACTTCGTAATAAACTTGCTTACATAAAAAGAGAATATCAATGAATACATTATTCAAATACAATTATGTCAAATAATTTTGTGCTTTAATTAATACTTTTCTGAATACAGTCTTGTATCAAATACTCGGCCTATTCCAGTGGCGGATCCAGGAATCTTGAAAGGGGGGGGGGCAACCAGTTTGGGGTTGGGGTAGGGGCCCACGGACACACCAAAAAAAAATTAAATTTTATGTATATTTTGGACACAAAACGGGAGGGGGGTTGGGCCCCTCTAAATCCGCCAGTGTATTCACAGGGCGTTAAATTAAAGCTAATTTTTACACAGGTACTTTTAGGTCTTGGATTATAAATATGTATACAGGTAAAAAAAAAAAAGAGGTAAGGTACAGTTTTTACATACCAATAAGGTACATACATATCTATAAACCAAGACCCAAGTACCTGTGAATTTTTACCAAAAAAAATCTATTTCTCAGTAAAATGTGCATATTCACTGCTTTTATTCGTGACGGAAATGAAATAAGAGCATTTGAAGTACAATATCCATAACATAGTACATTGTATATAACAGGTTTCACAATAAACGTCAATTAATGATATTGTTATTTACGTTTTACAGGGGGGGGGGGGGGGGTTGGATTGGAGACGTACTTCTACTTCATGCAGGATTTTGAACAAAGTTTTTCTTCCTGCAATAAGCCTGTAGGCTGTCAGTAGAAAATACAATATATATATTATTAGATTTTTCTGTCGGTAGTGGTATAAATTCAATTCCCCGCGCTTGCGCGGGATTTCATCTAGTTTTAAAAAAAAAAAAGAAACCGTGTCAAAGATTCACCATATAAATTGTCGTTCCATTGATGAAAAAGGTGAAGATAACGAAAAGTGATCAATCTCATAAAATAAAATCATGTAAACAAAAGAAATGTTGAACAGGGAGAACATGGACCCCTGGAACACCAGAGGTGGTATCAGGTGCCTAGGAGTACTAAGCATTTCTTGTTGACCGGGCACGCTAGCCGTGATCCCTCTGTACATGTATGTTAAAAGTAAACGGACTAATCCGGCGTCAAAACTGGTCTAAAAACAAGCTCATTCAAAGAATTTGTGTCCCCCGCTTATAAATTAAGGTCTTCCACCCTAATGAATGTTACCGTTCACGGTAGCTCAGTCGGTAGAGCACTCGCTCCGTGATCGGAAGGTCGTGAGTTCGAATCTCGGCCGCGACTGACCTAAGTCGATAAAAAATGGGTAGCAACTGTTCCTTCGCCATGCGCTCGGCACTTTGAAGTGAAAGTTGCGGGTCCTTCGGATGAGACCTTAAAAACCGAGGCCCCGTGTCACGGCAGGCGTTGGCACGATAAAGATCCCTCACTGCTCAATGGCCCTGAGTGTCGAGTAAAGGTCAAAATTTGAAGCCCCCCACCTGTATATGGTGACGTCTCTATATGAGTGAAAATTCTCGAATGGGACGTAAAACAACATACAATCAATGAATGTTATTGAGAAATTAACCAAGGCTAATATTTTCTTAAAGAGTATCATTCTGGCCATTTATTCCTATGATTTCAAAATTTTTTTTACGGTTTTGTTTTTTAGTTGTGCACGATTTAACATATCCACCCCTAATCCAACAACAAATCTCATGATATAATCAAAATCAACTTGTATATTTTTTTTTGTCTTCAATGGGGCCACAAAGTTCATGATTTTAGAAGAGGCACCCTTGCTCATCATAACCAGGTACCTAGTTTATTTTTTGAAATATACAAGGGAAGAGAAGAAGATTTTTAAAGTATTTATGTTTTTTTCACTGTATGATTATCAAAGTCCAATGATAACTCAAGAACCCTTGACATGGGGCAATTAATTTTGGTAGAGGACTAAATACTTATTACAGTCATGCCAACAGTTTTACTTCTTCACGTCCAGGAGTAAAGAAGATTTTTAATTATAGCACTAACTTTGATGGTTTAAACCTCACTCCTTAGGCCCAAGGGGGGCAAGGACCATGATATACTCAAGTTTTGTTTCCCTTTACTCTTAAATTAAATCATATATGCCAAAACTGGTTGAAATTCGTTTAGCGGTTTCAGAGAAGAAGCTGAAAATGTTCAAATGTTAACGGACGACGCAAGACGACGGATGAAAACAGATAGCAATAATTACCTGAGTGAATTAGATGACCTAAGGAGTTTATGAAAATCGAGAAAAAATTGTGAATTTGTCAGTGAAAGTACAAAAAATTGAATGGTACCTTCATGAAATGAACATACATCAATCGACTTGAAAGAAATGGAGTGAAAGGGGATGTATAAAAATCCAATAAATGATGAATTGAAATGAAATATTGTATGGAAGAAATAGCTAGAGAACAGCTTCAGTAAATACAGATAAGAGAAAGATGCTTCAGAAATTTCAGAGAAGAAATAACTCC